CAAGCATCCCAAAGTCTTTTTCCTGGCACTGAATAATGTTTGATACTTGATTATCTCAGGAATTACACGCAGAGTATCCGGCCTTATAACATGTGATGTGTTTTGAAGCGATAGCTCACCGAGCCTCCCTGTAGGCTTGAAAAGCAGCTGGTTGTAAACAGTTTGTAGTTTGCTTCTTCACAAGCAGCAGCAGCAGCTCTGGTCAGCTTCAATTCATGTCACTCATTAAAGGAGTTCCTGTTGTGACATGTTTACACACACACAAGACATGTCGCCTCCTGCAGTGTGACTTCACTGAGGCAAATTATACCGTCTCAACATCGACCAGACAAACAACTGAAAAGAAAAGAAACAAGACAAATACTCAACACAAATATGACTAATTGAGAGTACAACTGCTCAATTAGTAACCAGCTCCTCAACTTCCCTTGTAGCCTTTTGCTATCCTGACCACCATACATCCAGTCATTGTTTATCTACGTCTAGTTTAGATACAATATACATGTATGTCTCTCTCTATTCAACCTATGTGTTTATCTATACATTTATTTATTTAAAGGAATAATTCGACATTTTGCGAAATACGCTTATTCGCTTTCTTGCTGGGAGTTAGATCAGAAGATTGATACAACTCTCCTGTCTGTACGCTAAATATGAATCTGGAGCCATCCGCTTGTTAGCTTAGCTTAGCATAAAGTGTGGAGGCTAGCCCGGCTCCGTCTGTAGCAGCTCTGAAGCTCAATAATTGACATGTTTGTTGAATCCTTTCGAAAACTAGTTTCATGGGGTTATGTGTGTTCCTTGGCCGGCCGCAATAACTTCCTTGAGTCGTGTCGTCACCCTGAAGTTGCCAGGCGATCATCGTGTTTCCAATTTCTATGCTAAGCTAACAAGCTGCTGGTTTTAGCTACAAATTTATCGGACATGAAAGTGGCTTCAATTTTCTCATCTAACTCTCAGAAAGAAAGCAAATGAGCATATTTCCCAAAATGTTGAACAAATCCTTTTAAGCCGTTTGGAATACCAAAGTGTCCTGTGTAGTAACTAGTGAGTCGGCCCACTCGGTGCAGGTAATGTTGCCCTCCAGTAGCAAAGCGGCATAGAAGAGCCCAGCAGGCTTTTAGCCCACTGCAGTAGTAGATGCACACATTAAACTACTTTATAGCACAAGGGCTTTGGTTAGTGCAGACCCTTCATGTGGGGAGCTCAAAAACACTTATGCAGATTTTTATAGAATGCCAGGGGCGCATGATACAGGCAGGTGTTTTTGTTTTTAGCATTTAGCAGTGGGAAAAGTGGCTTCGACTTCTGATGGTCAATGATTGTCCTGATCTGCTCTTCTTCTGCTTTTAGTATCTGACACACACAAGGTTGCACAAAGACAACCATTGATGTGCATTTTAGAAATAGAGCAAAACCAGATATGATGAAAAAAGTACCCAAAAACACAAACTATGTTCTTGCAATGCCTGACAAGACAGAAGAAATGTGCTTGCACGGATATCATTCCTCCATATTCAGACTATTAAATTGAAGCCTCTCCAATAGCTTCCTCTCCGTGTCTGCCTCCTCCTCCAGCTCCACACACTTTAGTTTCAGCTCTGTATGGTTCCCTGGTGGTCCCCTCTAGTTTCATCTGGTAATAATTCATGGAGGCTTGGACCAAGCCACAGAGTATATGAGTCATTAGTATGACTGTCAGCAGGAGGAGACATTCTGCAGCTTCCCTATCTCACCTACATTCTTAGAGACATTCAAACCACAAGCTTCTGAAGTCTTGCTGGCATAAACATCACGCCTGCAGACCAAACCGATGTTGAATTATTCTCACACAATTCAAAACAAACGCCTGTGCCATCAATGCATCAGTCTGTAAATGCTAAGCTCATTTGGTTACAACACACAGCAGATGAGAAACAGATTGAATGCAACATACAAACAATTAACAGTGATGCGCTTGTTGCTAGCTGTACATGTCTGGTTACCAACAACTATGCACCAATTCCACAATGCATTCTGCATGAATAAAAAACTGGAAGTGAACTGGTGTTAACTGCTTGTGACTGTGATTGTGTCCAAGCTGTGTTTGGAAAAAATGCAAAACAAGCTTTTTCAACCACAGCTTTGAATAAAGAAAAATCACTATGCACCTCAAATCCTCCCTCTTTTATATTGTTTCCATATTTACCTACTTCCCCCTAATCACACCTCCCCTCACACACAAGCACACACATGTCATAGCACCTTTAGCTACACCTTCAAATTTGACAGGTGACCTCTGACCTTTGGTTACTATTAAAACCTGTTACGGAAGTGAATGGATAGAAATGTGTGTGTGTGTGTGTGTGTGTGTGTCTGTATCTTCAACTGATAACATTAAAAGAGAAACAAGCTTCAAAGAACAAGTAGCCGCTGAAACTTGTTTTATATGAGACCATATAAACCACATAAAGGTCACTATAAAGCAAGGATGTGTGCATGTAAATGTGTTCTTCACATATCTTGAGAGCAATTGTTATGTGTATTGATTGCTGTAATAACAAACTTTATACTTTGATCTGTAACTTTTGAACTGAACAAAAAGAAAATCTAATATAACTCACGCCCATTTTCGAGATAGTTGTTCTGTAAATTTGAATTGTGTCAAAATCAGTTAGTTTTATCGCTACTCCTCCTGACAATTTTAAGCAATTGTAACTACATTTCGGACAGAACACACATTTTTTGTCCTATTATTGATCAATACAATTGTTTAATACAGTTTTACCAAAGCTGGCCCCTCCGGAACGCTTTGTGCTATTGCACCACAGTTGTTGGCTGTAGATATGATGTCTGAGTGACCATGACACATTTGATGCCGTTAGGCCAAAGGATGGGAGCAGCAGCATCGTCTCTCTATAAAGCAAGGAACTGTTCATTCGATCTACTTCACACACACACGGTACTTTAGTTTAGTGAATATCAACAATTTATATTTATTTACAATATAAGACAATGTATTGTATAATAATATGATAGGATATATAATACAATGAAATACAGTATAATATAACATAATGTAATATAATACAGTAGCAATCTAACCAATCTGCCTATCTCTCTACTCATCCTATTTATGTATTCTTTCTTTAAGCATGTTATAGCCTACTGTGTCAGTCATAATTAGTTGTGATTTTATTGTCATATTTATTTTCCTTGGGCTATGTATCTTCTTCAGTAGGCCTATACTGCACCAATACTATCCTTAATAATGAAACATTATAAGGTTAAGGTGATGCTTGTATTCACACATAGTGGTAATGCTTAAAGTGCTTTCCTGTGTAATTTGTAGCCTATGTAATGGCTTTACAATATATTAAGTTGTGTATAAGGTAACTGCGATGAGCCCAGGACCGCCTTTGTTCAATGAAAGTGTTCATATGTCGGTTATAAATGGTAAGTAACGGTACTAGCGTGAGCTGTGAATGGACCCTTTTACCGAGTCACAGTGAGTGCTTTCTTGTATCCGACACCAGGAAGGGTCGAAGTTGCCAAACGGTCACAGGTGCAGGATGTGAGGCAGCGACAGTGTCTTTGGCTCATCTCAAAGACGGCTTTGATTTCACTTCCTGAGAGGCAGGTGCTAGGAGGTTTCCTGTTTCTCTTGGCCAATGAGAGATGTTTCTTGTCTCCATTCGCCGGCTAGTTTGGCTTGAATATTGCTTTCGCTCGGGAATTCCACCTCTGACCAACGGGTGTCAGGAGAGATAGGAAAGGGGGGGGGGCAGGAGAAAATGGGGGAGAATAAAACGAGAGGGTGAATCTGTCCTTGTGAAAGTGCACTTCCATTCCACTCGCCTGAGCGTGCTCCCCAGACTACAACTTGTGAATGTCATGCAATTAAACCAGGCTGTGATAGAAGTTTAATTAATGACACACAGCTGGCTCGGAGGGGGATAACAGAGGGAAGAAAAAGAAAGGTGAACACATGACGAGCATCAAGAGGGAAACGGAGAACCGTGTGTTGTTATGAAACATCCAGGACTCAGCGCTGCTGTGCTGTCATGTCAAGGTGAAGAAGACAATGGTGGACAGACACAGTGAGAATACATAAAATGTAAATAAACCCTATGTTGTCAGTTTGGGAAGATGGCCGGAGGGGAAGTCGGCTTTAAGCAGATGTCTGGAAAACAGCCTTGCATGAAGAGGGAGAATCGACAGAAATGCAGAGGAGAGAAAAGGGAAATGTTGTCTTTGAGGAAATTAGAGCTTCTGTGAATAACTACACTGAACCATATTCTTTATCATGATGCGTGGGTGAGGTGCCAGAGGATTAGAGAGAGAGAGAGAGAGTGTGGCGGAGAGATAGATGAAGAGAGAGACCCAGCTTCTAAAGAATCCAGCAGCAGAGAGGAGATTGACAGGATGGTTCATGTGTGATTCACCCCTTTATCAACACACTCAGTCACGCTACATGAGACCAGCACGGGTATTTCATGTTTTTATCTAAAACGCTTCATATCTGAAAGCCACTCATAATTATTCATTAATAAACTGCTACAATCTGGACATGTCCTGAGTTTTAAAAAAAAGAAGAAGAAATGCTGCACATGAATCCCGTTTCTGCAGTTAACATGTCTGAATGTGCAACTGTTTTTGACCAAAACATGTCATTTTAAAAGGCCCAGCCAATGTTAAAAGATAATTTTGCTCACTAAAAATCACTCCTCAGTCACCTGGGAAGGCAGCATTCATTTTTGTTTATTTGCTGTGTGGAAATAGACATCCACAACATGTTTTCTTTCTCCCAATCACAGTGCACACAACTCTGCTCGAAACATGAGGGAACTATTTTTTTTCCGATAATTTATGCGATTTAACTCACCACCAATACCTTACCCTCTCTCTCTCTCTCTCTCTCTCTCTCTCTCTCTCTCTCTCTCTCTC